CTTCGCATAAGAATGCCACAAATTTTGTTCTTAAGACGTGATATTGTATAGGAAGAAAGCGAGATGTAAAAGTGTAAGTCCTGTCCCAACAATGTGATGATGACGACGTTTAGTGTAAGCTACATGTTGTAGTGTGTATGGGGAAAAATCAAGTGTGGAATTACAGAAGTTTTAAACATGGTGTTAAACTATGAAATTCTTAGCCCCGAGTTAAATGTTTGAATGCCTACTGAGCTTTGCACTGTGTCATGACTTACTCATCAGACTTCTCAAAGCATCCCATTAGCCATTGAACATCGTACCATCATTGTCCATTACTCACTGAGTGGATGCTGTTTCATTTAGTGCCAACGTGGAGGATGGATACAAAACACGACGCTTCATCTCCTCCACCTCCACTATACTCACCACCATTCGCCCCACCACATTCTCCTCGTCCTCGTCATCCACCACCACCACCTCTTCTTACTCCATGTTCACATCCTGAACTAAAACCAGCACCATCTCAAATCTTGCCCCATGATCTCCTCCTGCAATAATATATATCCTCCACCAGCACCTCCTCCGCTCCAAACTCTAGCCATAACCCCCAAATCCATATCATTTACAATGCGATTGCCTTTGTGAATTGTTAACCCCTTCAATTTGGGATAAAATTTGAAATCGTGAGTTATTTATTGTCAAAAATGTAGTACAAAGCTAGTTTCTGTTTCTGGCCTGAAGTTTTAATTTGGAAAGGGGTATCTTACTAATATGGTAATACTTGTTTTGGATTCATGGGATATTGAATGTTGTGAATTGGGATCTTACTAATATGGTTTAGATTTAGGAATTTAGATCTTACTAATGTAGTACATAACACCGTCGCAACTGTCGCCATACTTCCGATATGTCTATGATTGTTACAATGCGAGAGGAAGATAAGTCTCTTTTTGCTGATCTTGATGAATTGTCAGAGTGTCAACCTTGTTCCGCAGTGAGATGGTGAAAAGAGAGGTGGTGCACAGGCGGCACAACCTTGCAACCACCGAGTGAGATCATGGGATAGGGCATGGTGTAGGAGGTGGTGAAGGAGGCAGTGATGTTTTTGGTTTAGGAGGTGAACATGGAGTAGGAGGTGATGGTATCGAAGGAGGAGAAGGAAGAAGAGGTAGAAGTGGAGAAGGTGGTGCTAGACCGCTGGTCCAGATGGGGCACATGGTGGTGGGTATGGTAGAGGTGAAGGAGGAGGACATTGGGGTGGTGGTCTGTAAGTGTGTGTTTTGAATTGATGAAATGACAGTGAGTTGGAAGGAGTTAACTGGCCAGGTCATCTTCGTTCTCCACGTCGGCATTAAATGAAACGATATCCACTCGATAACTAATGGACAATGACGGAGCAAAGTTCAATGGCTAATAGGACGCTTTGAGAAGTTCGGTAGGTAAATCGTGATAAGGTGCAACGTTCAGTAGCCATTTAAATATTTAACTCTCTTTGCCATTGCAATTATGGAGGTATTAAAGTACTTTTCTATTATGATTTTAAACTTTGGAAATGAAGAGAAGACACATTAGATTAGTAGTAGAAATAACTATGAATATTTTGTTTAATGATCAACCAAAATAGCGTAGTAAGAATGAATTGGAGATGGGGCACCAAACATCCATGTATAATTAGTCTAAAGGATATTGACTTTTTAAACTTGAAATATTGAACAGAAGTTTGTGACTTTTATTGCAATGACACGAATCACATAAAGATGTTTTTGGTAGACTCCAACTCTTTTGCACGGGGAGCATGATTTTAAAAGGTAGCAATGAGGTGCGCCTCAAAGTGAGACGCTCTTGTAGTGCCTCAAGGCACTAATTTTGTGCTATTTCTCTTGAGGCAGATGCCTTATTGAATCTAGGCACATGCCTCAATTTTGTCATATTTGAATTTTTATTTTTCGCAGGTCTAAACATGAAATTTAAAGATTTTTTTTTGGTTCATCTCAAATGAAACGACAATGTTTCGACCTATCGATTCTTTACTTCTTTGACCTAATCAACTCAATGTCTCAACATCCTCAAGATACCCAAAGCTTATTGAATTTATCAAAATTTGAAGGTCTGAAAAGTTCGACGAATATTTTTAATTTTTTTCCTTTTCCATTTTTTAGCATTTCATCTCTCTCTCTTTTTTTAAAAAATAAGATTATATTAATAGGCAGTTTGTTTATTAAAATTTTTATTTGTATAGAGAATTTTTAAGATTATTTACTATCTATAATTTGTATTATTTTATTTACTTTATTTTTTTTGGTTTGCAGTGATGCTTCTCTCTGATTCTGCATCGAGGCTTGTCTGAAATTGCCTTCATAACTAGTTCAGTCTTTTTAAATATACACAGTTCGATGAAGATCTTTTGACCAGAGGCGACCATGCCAACCATCAAGAGAAGTCTAATAAAGCATGCTTTGTCAGTGGGTAGATCTCCCTTGTCCTGTTGGAAAGGCACCAAAGACCCCAATTTTGAAATATTCACTTAGCTACTTTTATATTAACCTGGGTAGGTTTTGGACACAACCAAAAACAATGTTTGAAAAAATCTATTTCGAAAAATAATGTTCCCCATAAATCTTGGACGAAAAAGTGATAAAAAAAAAAAAAAAAGAAGAAGAAAGAAAGAATTAAGAATGTATATATTTCCTCTCTCTCTCTCTCTCCGTATGTATCTGTGTGTCAAATCGAATGTATGCACACGTATGCATGCGAAGAGAGCTTTGATGATCTTGAATTTCCCATGTTGGGATTGATCATTTATGATTCCGTTGTTACTTGCATGCCAGGTGTTTGGTTTTTTGTCTACTCAACGATTGTTTAATTTCGCGTTAACGTTAACTAGTAAATTTTGAATTTAATAACGTACTTAAAGTGGGTTCCATTAAATGATGTCTTTGATTTCTGTTTTTTCATATTCTTGATGTTTTTCCTTTCTTGCTGGTTGTTCATTAAGTGAAATTTCTGTATGGCGTAATGATATTAGTCTGGCCCTGTAGTTTTTGCTTCATTTTCGTACAATTGCGACAATTTCATACTTAATGTCTGTTTGGTGAAATGTGTTCATGTAATTGAGCCAAATTTCAATGATTTACGTGTTCCCCTATTCTTTTACGAATAATGCTAAGTATACACATTCTTTTACAGCCTCTTGGACGGAAGAAAGAAGGGAAGTTACTGAGCGACAACAACAGGTTCTATCTTTCTGTCTTGAGATTTGACCAGTGAGTTTTGGTGTTCTGAGGAAGATTATAGGTTGAATTATTCCAAGTGAGGAATAAAAAGATGTTCTTTTCAGCGTTAAACACTAGTTTTGTTGTTCATTCTAGTTTTTGTGTTCATTCTACATCGAAGTTGCCTTTCAAATTTCCTCCTGTTTCCATTGACTTTGAAAACCAAATATGCTGGAAAACGATTGGTATGCACTTCCAGTTCAAAGAATTCTGATCCAAAACCCGACAAGAATTGTAGTCAGAGTCCTAGTTTGCAGCGAAAAGGAAGAGCTCGGCGGGAGAAAACTGAATTTCCTCAAATTTTTTTAAAAAATAAGATTATATTAATAGGCAGTTTGTTTATTAAAATTTTTATTTGTATAGAGAATTTTTAAGATTATTTACTATCTATGATTTGTATTATTTTATTTACTTTATTTTTTTTGGTTTGCAGTGATGCTTCTCTCTCATTCTGCATCGAGGCTTGTCTGAAATTGCCTTCATAACTAGTTCAGTCTTTTTAAATATACACAGTTCGATGAAGATCTTTTGACCAGAGGCGCCCATGCCAACCATCAAGAGAAGTCTAATAAAGCATGCTTTGTCAGTGGGAGACCCCAATTTTGAAATATTCACTTAGCTACTTTTATATTAACCTGCGTAGGTTTTGGACACAGCCAAAAACAATGTTTGAAAAAATCTATTTCGAAAAATAATGTTCCCCATAAATCTTGGACGAAAAAGTGGAAAAAAAAAAGAAGAAAGAAAGAATGTATATATTTCCTCTCTCTCTCTTTCTCTCTCTCTCTCTCTCCCCGTATGTATCTGTGTGTCAAATCGAATGTATGCACACGTATGCATGCGAAGAGAGCTTTGATGATCTTGAATTTCCCATGTTGGGATTGATGATTTATGATTCCGTTGTTAGTTGCATGCCAGGTGTTTGGTTTTTTGTCTACTCAACGATTGTTTAATTTCGCGTTAACGTTAACTAGTAAATTTTGAATTTAATAACGTACTTAAAGTGGGTTCCATTAAATGATGCCTTTGATTTCTGTTTTTTCATATTCTTGATGTTTTTCCTTTCTTGCTGGTTGTTCATTAAGTGAAATTTCTGTATGGCGTAATGATATTAGTCTGGCCCTGTAGTTTTTGCTTCATTTTCGTACAATTGCAACAATTTCATACTTAATGTCTGTTTGGTGAAATGTTTTCATGTAATTGAGCCAAATTTCAATGATTTACGTGTTCCCCTATTCTTTTACAGCCTCTTGGACGGAAGAAAGAAGGGAAGTTACTGAACGACAACAACAGGTTCTGTCTTTCTGTCTTGAGATTTGACTGGTGAGTTTTGGTGTTCTGAGGAAGATTATAGGTTGAATTATTCCAAGTGAGGAATAAAAAGATGTTCTTTTCAGCGTTAAACACTAGTTTTGTTGTTCATTCTAGTTTTGGTGTTCATTCTTCATCGAAGTTGCCTTTCAAATTTCCTCCTGTTTCCGTTGACTTTGAAAACCAAATATGCTGGAAAACGATTGGTATGCACTTCCAGTTCAAAGAATTCTGATCCAAAACCCGACAAGAATCGTAGTCAGAGTCCTAGTTTGAAGCGAAAAGGAAGAGCTCAGCGGGAGAAAACTGAATTTCCTCAAGACGAGGATGAAAATTCTGGAAGGAAGTTACCTACAGTGATCCCTAAGAAGCCGAAGCGTGGTCCTCAGAGTGAAGCAGCTGCAGTTGAGGAATTTGTGCGTGATTCGCTTGAACATGACTTCCAAAACAATCCGGCAGCAGAATTTGGATATTCTGAAAGATAAAGTAATGAAAGACAAAATTGACAATGATGTTGATTCCAATCGCAACAGTGATGATGAGGATGATGACAGGGGCAAAGAGAAAGGTAATGATTCAAGAGGAAATTGGATGATGGTAGAGGGGGAGAATCCCAATTGGCCTCTGGATGCTGATGTTGGGTGGGGGATCAGAGCATCAGAGTATTTTGAGCAACAACCTATAAAAAATGTCGTAGGCGAAGATGGCACTGAAATTGACTGGGAGGGAGAGATCGATGATGGTTTATTGAAGGAGATCAATTGTCTTGAGTGGGAGAGCTTTGCTTTCCATCCTAGTCCCCTAATTGTTCTCGTTTTCGAAAGATACTACAGGTCAGTAACAGTTCTTGAAAAGAAGGAATCTGGAAAACATGATGTAGTGCGTTTAATTTTTACTTGCCTATATGTAATCCGAATCCGTCGCTGATCTCAGGCAAGCGATAACGGGAAAGCTTTGAACTTGAAAAAGCAGCAAAGGTGTTCTAGGAAGCCAAGGATCGACTACCTCTGGTATTTTTGACACCTTTTTTTTCCCATTCCTATCTGTTTATTATAATCCTATATCTTTAATTTCCATGATTAGACCATCAAGATAGATATAAACATCGAGAGAGATTTGGCTTACGCTCTTAAAGTTAAAGAATGCCCACAAATTTTGTTCTTTCGTGGAAACAGGATATTGTATTGGAAGAAAGGTGAGGACTAATCTCCTTCATTGTTATATTATATGTACTCCTATCTGATAGTTCCATTACTAATAAGTTCTTCACGATATATGCAGAAACAAGAACAGCAAACAAATTGGTTAAGATGATATCATTTCTATAACGTGAAAAAACCTTTGCGCATTAAAGACGATGCTCTATCCATATCTTGTTGCATTGTGTCATTATCTTGTTCTCCAGCATTTTAAGTTCTTTTGTTCGTGAATTTCTTGTTGGATAAATTAGTGAATAAATTATATTCCACTAATAAAAATATACGTGCATGTAAATATTAATAGAGTAATGACTTCACAAAAACATGGTATGCGCATAATAATGAGCAAATTACGACTTACTCAAACGTAGAAAATGTAGAATACGAAGGAGACGAAATGAAGTGAGGTATATGAATGCAAATCTCTTTAAGACGGATTTCACCCTCTGCACTAGTGCTAACATGATCAAATAGACGTTCGTCTTCCAATATACAACACTTTTTTTAAAATTAATACAACACAATATTAATTTTGCCTAGCGAACCAACGCTTGATTGTACTCTTTAGAACGGAAGATATCGAATACGAAACTCAAAAATAATTTGGAAATTATTTTAACATAATTTGGAAAAAGAAAGAATTAGAAATCAATTATATGAAATTGATTGGGAATAGGAAAAATGGAACTAAATGTCTATATTTATAGATTTTCAAGTGTTTTTTGAATGGTTGCATCTTTTAACATAGACCACACATTTTCACATTAAATTGTGTAGTATACACCCTATCAAATGGTCATGCCTTTTTATCATGCACTTTTTAAATATTCACTTCCATTCTAAGCAACATGACTATTTGTATGCATCTTTTGCTGTTGAAGAGGCACCCATTGAAGATGTATTACAATTCACCATAAATAATACTAATTATTCCTACAATCCCTCACATAAATGGAAGTCGACTGAGAACAAGAAAGACGAAGAAGTACTACTGAAATATAATGTATTAGTATTGGTTGCTTTCACTTTGAACCTTCCTTAGTGAAAATCTATTAGACTTACTTGGCTAAATAGTGAACACAATGTTTTGAATTGTTGACCATTATTGTAAGCCTAGACAATAGATCAAACACATTATATCTCATACCAAATTTTGGTTCTCTATTGTGTTCGTTATTTCGGCCATAAACGTTCTTGGTTCTGCAAGTGCGCTATAGAATTCGCTTAAATAAAATTCTCATAGAACCGGCCAAGTTCGCACTCACATACGTGATGTTCTATAAAGAGTACCCTACAATACTTCTCTTGTACTATTTACAAGATATAGTTATCATTAAAAGCATAGCTTATCCTAACAAATATTTAGTAGGCAACACTTATTTGCATCATAGAAATGGGGAGGAGTTAAAACTTCTAAGTGCTACATATGTAGTCAGTTATTACTAGTTTTCCTATTGAATCTAGTCCATCGGATCTCAGTCGCCAGGTTAGGTTTCCATTAAACAGACTCATTAGTTTAGGCTTTACACATATTCCCCTCGGTGCACAATATATTTTCTCTAGATAACTCGTTTATAAATGGATTCGATAGGTTATTTTTAGATAAAACAATCAGTATTGTTCTATTTGATAGTAACTATCGAATAATATATATATATATATATATATATATATATATATATCATGCATAAAGTCTCTCTAATTAGAAAATCCTCCAAATAACTTTGAAGCCATGCTATTTCCTTCTAACTTTATTGGAAGTTGTAATTTAATCTTTCAATTCTCAAGTTGCATTGAGGATTTCCATGATCAACTACACTTTCAAAGTAAAATATATTTACTAATGCATTTTGAATTCTTACATCGTATATTTCCAACATCGTGCACATTTTAATTTTAGTGCAGTTTATTATTTCAAATATTCTCGAATATATCAATATTCTAATTTGAAAAGGCCATCCCCACAAATATTGGGTTGCAACACACTTAAATTAAGAATGTTATGCAAACAATAATTCAACTCCCACAATTTCGGATAAGACTCAACTTAGCAACATAATTTTCTTATAAAAAAATTCGATTATATCAATAATTATGTTTATCTACTGGATAAACAATTTTATTCATCCTTTAGTCAATATAAAAAATGACTAGGAATGTCAATGTCACATGAAAGCCCACAACTTCCATATTTTAGACGTCAATTCACAAAATAAAAATGAAAAATCATTTTTTCATTTTCAAGAAATTGAAGCCCCATTTTAAATTATGATCCAATCAACTTTAATTGGCCATATCACGGCCAACACATAGACCCAAATCTAGTTTTCACATTGCACCAAAAAAATTGGTAACACTTGACAAGAACATTGTAGCTTAATAACTTAACTCACTTCATTCAATAAATCTTCTAGAATTTAGGTGATCAAGGAGGTACAAACATTCATGGAAGAACAATATGTCCAAATAAAAGGTGCCCCCCCAAACCTTGGGTAGACCCGAAGATTAGAGTGAATAACGAACGGTGATTTGAAAAACCGAACGAAATACTTCACATGTCAACCAATACTACTTTAATGGTTAATCACTTTGCATGCCAAATACGATTATAATTCAATATTATTGCCTCATCACATTTACAATGCATATTTTTAAAAAAAAAAAAAAAATTATCTAGTAAAGCCATGTAAGTTTCTTTCGAATCAAAACAACACAACAGAATGTACGAAGTCACATGTTATTTGAATAACTTTAGTGTTTATACATAGTGTAAATCTGAATATATAAATTTTAACCACAAGCATAAAAAATTTCTATTTTTCTTCGTTTAACAACATTTTTCCATCTTCATATCATATGTAGAAGAAATGCAAGGGAGCAATGTAGAACATACCTACAATGTCAATTACAAAATTAAGAATATGTTCTCATCAAGCCATACAACATTTAAGTAAACTAGTATTATGCATGAATAGTTCACAATAATATAATCTAGTAATATGAAAGAATAGTGCACAAATAACAAAGTCAGAAAGCAAACATAAACTAAAACGGTGCATCCGTAAGCTGATTTTGTCCATCAGTATATAAGTTAGCATGCAAATGTGTTTTAAGATTATGTGCATAAATTATATTCCACTAATAAAAATATACGTACGTGCAAATATGAATAGAGTAACGACTTACCAAAATCATGTTATGTGCATAATAATAACCAAATAACGACTTACTCAAAGATGGAAAATGTAAAAATACGAAGGAGATGAAATGAAGCAAGGTATGCGAATGCAAATCTCCTTAAGATGGATTTTGCTCTCTGCATTGGTGCTAACAGGATCAAATGGACGTCCGTTTCCAACGTTGTAACGCTTTTTTCAAATTAACATAGAACAATATTAATTTTGTCAAGTGAATCAAAGCTTGATTGTACTCTCTAGAACAGAATATATCGAATATTAAAAATATTAAATATGAACCTCAAAATTAATTTGGAAATTATTTTGACATAATTTGGAGAGAGAAAGAATGAGTGGGAAAAATGGAACTAAATGTCTCTATTTATAGAATTTCAAGTGAATTTTTGAATTGTTGCATCTTTTAACATAGACCATACATTTTCACATTAAATGGTTGTATACATCCTATCAAATGGCCATGCATTTTCATCCAACACCTTTTAAATAGTCGCACTCATTCTAAGTAACGTGACTCTTTGTATGCATCTTTTACTTTTGAAGAGGCACCTATTGGAGACATATTCCAATTCACTATAAATAATACTGATTATTCCAACATTTCTTCTATGTTTTGCTTTGATCGGAATGGTTAGTTGGATTTGGGCTTAATCCTTCCTGATAGATTCATTGATTAGTGTGGAACACAATCCAATAGTATGGTTTTTGGATAAACAATATCGAACTCGATCAAAAGCTTGTCTATGCAGACCACTACTTTAAATTGAGTATGGACTTTAATATTAAGATCAAAGGTGTAATATTTTTTTCTTAATGACTGTCTTTATATATCGTAATAACAATCGAAATATGGTAGGGACATTTTGTCGAACCTCGTAGAGTAGAATCCTTGGGTTAGGTCCACTCTCTTTACTATATCTCTCATGAAGATAATCCTAAAGAAATTGTACGAGTGCAAATGAGAAAAACCCTTTATAATGAATCAATACTTCCATATAGGAAAAAGGAACTCCGCATAATATTTCTTTAATTTTATACAGAACAATATCTAGCTAACTAACGTATAAACTAACACAATTTCTTAATATAATCTCTTAATTAAAGCACAATTTCTCTCATCAAAGTTGTTTGTTAATTCATCTATAGAAGGTAAATTAGACATAACACGGATATCGCACGATACTCTTCTAAAAAGTTGTTCATGCCGTTGATCAATAGATACATGTAATCCACAAAATATTTTCGTAATTCTAGAGTGGGTCAAAGATTGCGAGATTCTATTCAACACATATGTATATATTTTTTTTTTCATTAATTTCTACATTCTACAAAGGATTTGTTAGATGTAAGTTTTTTTTGAATATATTTTGTAAAACATAATTTTTTAGAAAATATATAATTAGAAAAAAGAATGAAAAAAAAAGTTAGGAGTCCATTAATGTAACAAACCAAATCTTGGAATTTTAAATTGGTACAAAAACAACGTGCTTTTTCTTCAAAAATTCGAGTTAAATTAAAAATGCTCTTAATTTCCTTTTTGTTTTGCAGTTTACCCTTACATCTAT